ATGTTCTACACCAAAATGCAGTGGCAGTTGTCCTCGGTAAGATATTCGTATTGTTCTGGGTGACTTCAATGCGGTATCTGGCTATGCTGAGCTGGCTGAGATGTTGTGTGGTCCCATGGTTCAGGAGCTGATGCCTGTAGCGAGAATAGCCTCCTTTTCCGGGACTTTGCAAGGTCCCAGAAATTGAGGATTTCTGCCTTGCTGAGGAGGTCGAAGGCCATTTCTTAGTTAATGACCTTCGTCCTGCAATACTCTCTCTTGAACACAGCGATTTCGCCTAGTAAGTGACCAGATCGTCTCAGATCCTGTTGCTGTGTGGGAGCGTTGGGCTGAGTATTTTGAGGAGTTGTACCATGTTGACCCAACAACAGTTAACTTAGATGCAGGGAATGCCGAGATCACGTTAGGGAGGATCCATCCTCCCTTAATGAAGTTAGGGAGGCGATCTCCAAGCTGAAGAGTGGCAAAGCAGCAGGTATTTGCGGCATTCCAGCTGAACTGTTAAAGGTTGGTGGTGAGCCTATGGTGCGATGATTGCATGCTGCCATCTGGCGGTCCGGTACCGTTCCTCCTGACCTGTTGAGGGGTGTGGTCATCCCTCTCTGGAAGGGGAAGGGGGGCCGATGGGACTGCAGCAATCACTGAGGCATCACACTGCTCAGTATACTGGGCAAGGTTCTTGCCCATATCCTTCTGAGACGTATCAGAGACCACCTACTGAGACATCAGAGGCCGGAGCAATCTGGATTCACTCCTGTTAAGCCGACAATAGACCGTATCCTCGCGCTTCGAGTCATTGTAGAGCGCCGTCGTGAGTTCGGGCGTGGGCTGCTTGCAGCCTACATTGATCTCAAGAAGGCGTTCGATACGATGCATCAGGAATCACTGTGAGATCCTGAGACTGAGAGGAATTCCAACAAGGATTATTGGACTAATAGCAAGCCTGTATACTGGTACTGAAATTGCTGTAAAGTGTGGAGGGGGCCTGTTGAGCTTCTTTCCTGTTAGTTCAGGAGTGAGGCAAGGCTGTGTCCTTGCACCAACTCTTTTCAACACTTGCATGGACTGGATACTGGGCAGAGCTACTGTTCAAAGTCATTGTGGAGCAACACTGGGCAATATCAAGGTTACAGACCTTGACTTTGCTGATGATGTTGCTATCCTATCTGAGAATTTGGAAACCTTAGTGGTGGCTCTGGATATATAAATATATATATATATATATATATATATATATATATATATATATATATATATATATATATATATATATATATATATATATATATATATATATATATATATATATAAGCACACAGACAAGGCAATAGTCACTGATGCAATTTAAAAAAGTCCTGAATCCGGGTCATGATCCAGATCACCATCAACATTTAATGGCATCTAAGTTGGGCTAATACACACTGGTAAAAAATCATAAAAATCTGTTCATAACTTTTTGAGACAAACAAACAAACTAACCAACGCCACCTAATAATAACCTCCTTGGCAGAGGCAACAATAAATGAAGAACTCAATCAATAAAGGAAAATTTTAACCGAATAGAGATAGAATGTCCTCGCTGATGCATTTCTCTTTTTTTCAGAAACAAAATCATATTTACGTGTCTGATTTCAAGGTCAAGTTTTGTCTTTTCTACTTTATCATCAAATTTATGTTTTTGACACATGGTAATCACGGAGATTAGTTTAGTCGCTGTGATAAATGATGGTAAAAATGAGTATTCGAAAAGTGACAACAATGTGAGGGACTGTGATGATGATAAGGATGGTAATGACGCTAACAACAGAAATAATAAAGATAGTAATAAAAATAATAATGATAATAACAATAATAATGGTGGTACTAATTCTCATGATACTGATGACGATGATGATAATGATGATATAAATAATAATAGTTATAAAGGTAATAATAGAAATTATAATAACAATCATAATCATGATGATAATGATACCAATAATAATAATGATAATGTAACGATAATAATAATGATGATAATGGTAATGATAATGAAAATGACAAGTAAAATGACAATAATGCTAAAAGAAATAATTCTAATGAAAAGCATGATAGCAATAATGATAATAATAATAAGGATAATGATATTGACAGTGATAATATCAATGATAATAATAATGATAATAATGATAAAATAATGATAATAACAACGAGCATGATCATAATAATAATAGAAATAATGATGATGATGATATTGATAATAACGATTGTCAATTTGATAACAACAAGGGTATACTAATAATGACAATGCAAATAATAGTAATAATAATAATAATGCTAGTAATGATAATGATGATAGTAATAATATAAAAACAATAATGAAAATAATAATGATAATGATGATGACAATAATGGTGATAAAGTGAGGATTATAACAAGGATGATAATGATGATGATGATGACACTGATACTTATAATTATAATGATAATAATGATAGTAATGATAAAAATAATGATAATA